CTAATGATTCTTGTGGAATCTGCAGTACTTACTTTTATCTGCTTCTAGCTTAAATGTTATTTGTCAGGGAAAGCAGACCCCGACAATTTTGAATTATGCATTGGCGCAATCGGTAAGGATACACTCGCATGAAGCATTGAGAGAGGTGTAGTCGTGAAAACGACCAGTTGGTCCCTTGTAGTCTCTGGAATCCCGGGACTTGTCTTCCCTTAATTTTTCTCCCCCTCGACGAGATGTTGAGGGCTCATTATTCTTTGGGACTTTTTCATTCTCCCTATGCCGTGAGTCCCTCGTGTTGTTAGTTTCTTCCCTTTCTTTGTACTGGATGTATGCTTGTTCCTTGAGCAAGAGAGCATCCAGGGTGGCTGGTGATTCTATGCCAACCGCCTTGGCGAATTCACTGCGATAATAGAGTCCGCGCTCGAGGAGATATTTTTTCACGTCGTCGGTCATAGGGACCCTGCACAACCTCTTTGTTGAAGCTCTTGATGTTGGCTCGGAGAGACTCGTCATTTCCTTGGATGATCGCCTCCAAAGATGCTTCCGACTTAGGATGTCAGCGAGATGTCGTGAAGTGTCTAGAGAACATCTTTCCGAACTGCCTCCAAGAAGTGATGGATTCATCAGGAAGACTTTTGTACCATGACATGGCACCTTTCCTCAGGGTAGTTAGGAATGTCATGCATTTGATGGCGCCCCTAACACCTCGATAGTCGAGTAGGGCGTCGATATTTTCTATGTGATCGTTGGAATCAGTTGTACCATCGTATGTTCCCAACGAGCGAGGTTTCTCCAGGCCGACTGAGAGCGTGGATTCTATGATCTCTCTTGATAACGGGCCTCGTGGCTCGTCGTCATCGCTTCCCTCGGGAGATGGCGGCGGGGAATGATTGTCCCTTCCTCGTTGGGGGTTGTTGTCCTGGCGGGGAGATGTACCTCTTCGTTGTTGTCTTGGCTTGGGCGACAGTGATCATTCGCGGTCAAGTCAGAAATCACTCTTTGTCTTCTTGGAAGATGGAGAGCTTTAATTCCTCCGAGGAGGTGCGCGATCACGTTTCTTGAGGAAAGAAACATCTTGCTGCTCCCTTCTGGTTGGACGACCACGCCTTGGTAGAGAGAGGCTTAGAGAGTCACGTCGTTAGTGTCTTAGAGGAGAAGACTTAGACCATATCTTCTCCTAGGCCCGAATCCTCTTGCTCTGTTGCAAGATTAGGGCGTTGGTTTGTTAAGGGCAGCGAACAGTGCTACCATGCCCGAATCGGCATTATGAGGAATAGGAACTGGTTACAGGATCTCTGATAGATCCTCGGACAGGTTCTTGGGCCTCTGCTTGTCCAAGAATTGGAGATTTTTGCACTCGACATCGACTGAATATGGGGACACGGTCTGTCCATCTCTGACGTCGATGTCATCCTCTAGAGAGATAATGGTCATCATGGTCGGCCATGATTGAAATATTGAAGGTATCTTTGATCTTCGATTTTAAGGGGAAAAGAAAAACAAGGAAGATAGCTTCCCATAAACGGCATCACTGATCATACCTGTGATCAGAACTTGAAAGTGGGACGAAAAGTGACGTCTGGTTTGCTGGAAAGTTTAGGAGAAAGGGAGGTTGTACCTTCTAGGCACTCCGACGATCAAGTAAGAATGGGTGCAAAGAGTACAAACAAGATTTTAGGATTTAAGATTTGAATATTGGATATCTGGCCCTCACAAACGTGGGGGTTAATATAATGCCCCCAACGCGTAGTCATTGATTCCTATTTTTGGCCCTAGATATTCGGGTCCATAAAAATAGGTAACTTCCAGAACTTGGTCAAAACGGGAAGTCGTGTCCCTAACTAACCGTTGCATCGAACAAGGGTGAGATGACATGTAGACATGTTGTGAGCACTAGTCTGGTTGTCTGCTCGACGTGTAGTGAGTAGATCAGAGAGAATGATATCGTTATGGGCAGGAGCATGACTTCAGCATTGTTTGTCTCACAGTCCCATGGGACAGTCGACCAGACTTTCCCGACCTAAGGCCATAGTTATTGGGCCAGCGCTTGTTGGGCCATGCTGGAGGTAGGACTGGATTGGGCTAATTTCAGTCATTGGGTCAGTTTAGAACAAATATATATTATATCAAACCTATGATTTATTAGTATTTTTATAATATTAATAAAAATATAATTTATAATTTGGATATGCAAAAACCGATTCAAATTAAACCGCATTAAATTGGATTTGATCTGTTTTTTTTAATATATCATCCAAAACTGAATCGCAAGTAAATTTATCTTTATATTGGATGAATTTTTACCTTAAGACCAATCCAAACCGAACTGCGAACACCCCTAATAGTGAATATGTATCAAAGTAATCTAAGCCTTCAATTTGATTATAACATTTTGTAATTAAGCACAAGCCATCAACATGAAGCTTGATTTTGAATATCTATCTGCATACTATTATTTTAATGTGGGATGGCAAATTTATCATCTCACACGTGCCTATTGTGTCAAGAGCTGCAAGTTCAACTTTCATTGTTTGTTTTTAACATTCAAACTTGTTAGTTTCGGTAAATATTTTTGATTCACTTGATGTATTAAGATTTAAGATACATGACAAAATGACTATGACAAATTTGAATAAGGTATTGAGATAAATGATAATTCATAATTGAGGAGGAATGATTTATTGATGTTGAAGGTTCAAAACATTGTTCTATATGGTTTCGTTTCAGTGACATAGCTCTTCCTCAGCAGGTATGCATCTTCGCTATGGCATATCGACAGTTGTTGGTACTGCTGTTGACATGTTACCATTGTGGAATGGTGGTTAGACCGATAGAAGTTTCAAGTGAGGATGTGGTATGAGTCAGTTGTATTGGATCCTATAGTGGACATAAACTGTACTTATTATGAGTTCAATAAATATCACCATGTTTGCGTTATGGGGCACAAGAGAGCTTTAGATTTTGATATGTAAAAAGTGAATGGATCCTTACATAACTCATTGGCTAGGTATTTATAAATATATTCGCTCGATAAAGAGATCAGTTCTAACACCTACAACCTTAGTTACACATCCCTTAACTTTAACTAAATAGTGGAGCAAATAAGATGAATCATTGCTTTAATGTAAGAGGCATGGTTAACCCATAAGAGACTTAATATTTTTATTATTGACTAAGAGAATCACGTTATACTTAAAATGTGGTTTGATATGTTATCCCTAAAAAAAATGATAGTAAAATATAGGGTGAGCTTAATCACGGGTTCGGCACGTGACCTCATCCCTCCTTATTTGAATTGACCTTCCTTATTTGAATTTTCCTCATGTTGCTTACGAGTTGAAGAGTTGATGGGTCAACAACTTTGGCTTTCAATGGGCTTTTTTTATGATACCATGGTTGGGCTTGATTGACTCCATTCTACAATTTCTCAAACACAAAACTTATAAAAACGAAGTGGTTAAAAGAAATTTTACTCCAATATTTTTATGATTTCAAAATACTTCATAGATTTTCAAGATTTGAAAGGACTCGATCAATATAAAAAACAAAGAGTAAATAAAAAAGATGATAAAAAACTCAAAAATCAATACAAATTATAAATATTTTAGTAAAATGATTTTTGCATAAAAAAAAACAACAGTGATTTTGATAAGCTAGAACATATGATTAAAACATTTGTAATTGAATACAAGTTCTGCTTTACATTATATGCTGGTTTGGACTTCAACTGATATGGAGGTACCTCCTCTGGTTGGACACAACATACACAACATACTTGTAGCTCTCTCTTCAACCTTGGTCGAGCTTGGTGAAAGAAAGAAACTTGTAGAAGACAAAGAAGCGCACAGTTCAAGTCTGTGAAGGCCGTGATGCTTTGTTTTAAAGATACTTGGCAATTTTCAGATACAACAATTTACATTCAATCAGGGACAAAATTACGGCAACTCAATTCAGCGGCACTAGCAGGTCATAATAAAAATTCATAGCTGTTCACTCCTAAACCATATGTTAAGTTCACTCACCAAGACAATGCTATATTTCTTTTACTTTCACATTCTTATTAAACAGTTGTATGAACTCCATGATATTAATACTTATCGTTTAACTTCAAAATGAAAGTAGATGCTGCTGCTAATACACTTTCAGAAGAATGTCAATCAAACAGCAGTCTTGATTGCGAAATTGTGTGAACCTGCAATGGAGTTTATATTTATAGTGTCAGTTGGAATATAGTAAGTTACATACAAAGGATAAGTACAATAGATCAAATAACTTGGTAGAGGTACTTCAAATAATTTTAAATCTCATTTTCCTTAAATAAAATCAACCATATCCATATCAGTTGGCAAAAAGGTAAAGAAAACAAGCAGTGCCTGAATATATGACAAAATCAAAAGCTACATAAGATACTGTGTAATAAAGCTTACTGAGTAGTTGCATCCTTAATATAGGGTGTTTAGTCGCTGCTGACAACCACACAACTACTATAATTTCAAATGCATATCTTCACAACTATTTGCACTTCCGGTATTTGTGAAGTAACCACTAACTACAAATGCAACTGCTGCTTGAAGCCACTTTGAATTCAGTAAACTAGTCCAGTATAGCTGAATGTATGCAATAGATTGTTAGACAAACTACTAACCATAATTGCAACTGCTATTCGAAACCATTCTGAATTCAATAAACTATTCAAGTATAGTTGAATGCATGCAATAGATTATTAGACTAATCGAACAAGGAGAGTGAAATGACACAATCACAAAAAAAAAGTATTCATGTCCATAAGTGCAAGAAACATTCAACTTTTACATCATGATAGTACATAACAATTTTGAAAAAGGATATCAATAAAGAAAACACCAACATTTGTGCAGATAGGAAATGAAACAAGATAACTAAACTAGCTCAAACTATAACTCCAATCAAGTTCTCAACAAGTGTTCAAATCCAAGAAGGAACAAGATAGCAAATTAAGGCTAAAACACCTGAAAATTTGTTCAAACCATGGTGGTTTTGTCCTTGTTGTGTGCAAGATTCAGTTTTTCTTGGTAAAGCTTTAATAGATAAGAAGACTACTCCTTAAAACGATTTATATACACTTCAAGGAAATTCTTTTCGTTGATTACAAATGGAGAAGTTAAACTTGCATTCCTTTTTAGCAAACCATTCTTCCAAAGATAATGCACAACTGAGGCTCTTGGTATGATCCTTCGCTCCAGACTGGCCCCAAAAACCCTCGGCACTTTGGCAAGGGCAAGAGCATCCCAACCCAACTGATTAACCCAAAAGCTCATCACTGAATTTATTTTTTCCACCGATGTTAACATACAATGAGGTTGATTTCTAAATGCATCTAGAACATCTTCATCCGACCAACCCCACTTCTTAAAGGCATCAACTTTCGCTTTCCATCGGGTTTTGGGAACATATGTTTTCGCAATCAATGCTATTGAGAAAATTGATTTTGAAGGATGAAACCCCAAATGCTTTAATTCCTCCACCAACACATGTATGTGATTTATGTGGAATAACTTAAACTTACTCCGAAGCAATCTTGCAATATTGGAGTCCGTTACTCCAATCTCAACCAGCACTTTGATGTTATGCGTCACACGGAAGCAAGTTGGATTGTAAGTTAACATAGTGTAAAGAATTGGTTCTGTGTTTTATTTTTCAATGTACTGCTCTTTATATACATACATGACACTCACATTTTCTCCTATAATTATTCCTATGATATTATAACTAATTACTGCTATATGAATGAACTTAATTACAATACAACTGTAAATAACTAGAATATCAAAACAGAATCAGATTTGTCTAATTATAAGGATAGATGCTAGTTGCCAAATATAACTTAATACCCTCCCTCAAGTGGGAGCAAAGAGATCTCGAATGCCCAACTTGTCAAGAAGAAATTCAAACTGCGGCTTTCCCAAAGCTTTTGTGAAAATATCTGCGAGTTGAGTGGTAGTAGATACATAGATTGGCTGGATATTATTTTTGAGAACTTCATTCCGGACAAGATGACAATCAACTTCAATGTGCTTTGTGCGTTCATGATTTTTGGCAATATGGATAGCTGCTTGACTATCGCAGTGAATGGTCATTGGTTTATCATGAACAATCCCCAGGTTGGAAAGGATTCATTTTAACCATTTTAACTCGCATGTGATGGTTGCCATAGACTGATATTCAGCCTCAGCAGAGGACCGAGAAACAGTGTGTTGCTTCTTTGTTTTCCAGGAAATAGGAGAGTCACCGAGCTGCACTATCCAGCCGGTGACTGATCGTCTAGTTAAAGGACAGCTGGCCCAATCTGAATCACACCAACCATGAAGTTTTAAGTCACTTTTACTACCCAAAAATACCCCTTGTCCAGGATTGCCTTTTAAAAATCGAACTACTCGTAGTGCAGCTTCCCAATGTTCAATTCGGGGCTGGTTCATGAATTGAGACAAAGTGTGTACACTGTACGACAGTTCCGGCCGAGTGAAACACAAATAAATCAGTCTCCCAACCAAGCGCCAATATTGCTCGGGGTTGGTAAGCACCTGTCCGTCAGCCAGTGACAAGCGATGGTTTTGCTCTAATGGAGTGGCAGCGGGTTTAGCACCGAGGAGTCCAAATTCGGATATAATATCAAGCGCGTATTTACGCTGACAAAGTAGAATCCCAGTAGAATTTCTGGCAACTTCGATACCCAGAAAGTACTTCAAAACACCAAGGTCTTTCATATGAAAACATGTGTTGAGGTAGAGCTTAAAGTGCTTAATTGCATAAGGGTTATTTCCTGCAATTATTAAATCATCGACGTAAACGAGAACTACAAGCTGGCTGTCTTCTTGGTGCAGAGCAAACAGAGAATAATCAAGGTATGATTGTTGAAAACCATAAGATTTGAGGGCAGCAGAGAGCTTGGAAAACCAGCAACGCGGAGCTTGTTTTAACCCGTAAAGTGATTTGCGTAGCTTGCAAACCATGTCCGATTGTGAAACATAAAAACCAGGAGGCATTTTCATGAAAACTTCTTCATGCAGATCGCCATGTAGAAACGCGTTGTGCACATCCATCTGGTGAAGTTCCCAATTTTTCGCTGATGTTACTGCTAAGACAGTGCGCACGGTGACCATTTTAACCACCGGTGCAAATGTTTCAGTGTAATTAATTCCTTCCAATTGATGATTGTCGAGTACAACCAATCGGGCTTTAAAACATTCAACTGTCCCGTCTAAGTTATACTTTATGCAGTACTCCCATTTGCATCCAAGAGCTTTCTTCCCGGGGGGGTAAACGTTGCATACTCCATGTATCATTCTTTTCAAGAGCTTGAATCTCAGTCTGCATTGCCTCTCTCCAACGAGTATCTTTTACTGCCTCATGAAAATATATTGGTTCTTTTTCTGCAGTAATTGCTGCAAGAAAATGTCTATATTGCAAGGAAATTTTTTCACAACTTACATAGTTTGTTATAGGGTAGGATGCACCTGAAGGATGCGATTCAGCTGGTGAACGAGTGGAATGACTCAGCTTCTGAATTGTGTTTGTGACAAATCCTTGCAGTCGAGTGGATGGAAATTTGGCACAACAACCACGCCCCAATGCTTCAGACTCATCATGAGAGCTAGCGGGCTGCACATTAGAAGGGTCTGGAGCTGCAGTATTATTTTCCATAATAACATCTGCAGTGTGATCACCCTCCCTATCAACAAGAATCACCTCTGTTGGCGTCTCAACTTGTGTGAACTCATTATCACCAATTTGATTCTCCTCATCAACATCTTCTGTAATGGTGATTGGCGCAACTTCAGTGTGTTGGAACGGAAATTGATTTTCAAAGAAAGTAACATCTCGTGATACAAAGAATTGATGAGTCTCAGTGTCATAAACTCTCCATCCCTTTTGTCCATAAGGATATCCTATGAAGGCACACCGACGACTGCGACTGGCGAATTTGTCTTTGTTCGTATTTTGGTTGCGCGCAAAACACAAGGACCCAGACACACGCAAATGGGCATAAGAGGGTTGCTGCCCATGCAACACTTCATATGGAGTCTTTCCTTTTAAAACAGAGCTTGGAGTGCGGTTAATTAAGTATCATGCCATCAAGACACACTCACCCCAAAAGTCAATGGGCAAACTTCCTTGAAACCGGAGAGCTCGTGCCACATTGAGGATATGGCGATGTTTTCTTTCGACTCTGCCATTTTGCTGAGGTGTTCCTGTACAAGAGGTTTGAAACACTATCCCATGTTCAAGAAAATATTTTTTCATGCAAATAAATTATGTTCCATTATCACTTCGCACAGTTTTAACCCTTTTGTTATATTGTCTTTCAACCATAGCAAAAAAAAATTTCAAGGTTTTTGACACTTGTTTCTTATCAATTAACAAAGAAATCCACACTGCACGTGAGCAATCATCTACAATAGTAAGGAAATACAAAGCGCCACAAGAAGAGGGGGTTCTATATGCTCCCCATAAATCACAATGTATTAAATCAAATGTATTAGAAGCTTGATGATTACTTAAGGGAAATATTTCTCTAGTTTTCTTAGCTCTTTGGCATGTGTCACAAACTTTATTCTGTAACTCACTAATTCTACTCCCATTATAATTAGAGACTAACTGAGTAGTTTTCCAAGATGGATGTCCCAAACGCTTGTGACATACTTCAAGTTGATTCATTCCTTCAACTCTACAAGCTTTCACTTTCGGAACTTCCCGGAAGAAGTAGAGTCCATCCCTTCGTTCACCCGCACCAATCAACATCTTCGAAGTGCGGTCCTGTATAGCACACAAATTAGCAGTGAATTGGACGTTACAATTGAATTCATCTGACAGTTGTGAAATAGAGATTAAGTTGCAATTCAATTCAGGAACATAAAGCACGTTTTCAAGTCTTAGACCATCAATGAGCTTTACTGTTCCTTCCTTAGTGGATGTGACAGTTCGGCCATTAGGTAGACCAACAGGACATCCAATTACTTCTCTTACATCACACAGGAATTGTAAGTTTCCGGTCATATGATTAGACGCCCCACTATCGAGGATCCATGAATTGAATTTAGTCTTACCAGTCATGCTTTCATTTTGAGTCACCTTCGAGCTGTTGAGAATTTCTACCAAAGTTTGCCACTGCTCCTTGTTTAATCCTGTCGTGTTGGAAGTTTCTGAATCTCCACCAACGTTGGATCCCAAGTTCTGAACTGCATGAGCACGTACTGGACCTTTTTGTGCTAGTCCACTATTTGATCTGGTACCTCCAGCGCTAATTTGGCCTCTTCCTCGTCCTCCTGCCTTGTCGTCATTTTTGGGACGTTCACCCCACCATTTTGGGTATCCAATCAGCAAGAAACAATCTGCCTCATCATGCCCAGCTTTGTTGCAGTGCGCACAAACGGACTTGTTTTTCATCTCTCGTCCTTTCATCCTTGCGTTTGCTCGAACAGCCAAGACCATAACTTCTGTTCTTTCATTGTTACTTCGTGTAATGTTCCTCATTCTTTCTTCTTGTACTAGGATAGAGTACATCTTATTTAAAGATTGCATAGGATCTGTAGCTAGCAGATTTGAACTAACTGTTCCATACAGTTCATCATCTAGGCCCATCAAAAATGTGTGACTTCTTTCCTCTTCTTTGCGTTTTTCAACTTTTGCCTGAATACCACATGTGCAACCTTTACAAGTGCAGGCCAACACTGGCTCATAATTTGCCAAATCATCCCATAGAGCTTTCAACTTTCCATAGTAAGCAACCATGGACGAACCTCCATGTTTACAATGGGCAAGATCTGATTTCAATTGCTGAATGCGTGTACCATTAACAGCTGAAAATCTCTCCTTATATCGTCCCAAAGTTCCTTGGCGGTTTTCAAATAAGATATGGTTGTTCGCAACGTAGGTTCTACTGTATTCAAGATCCATGAGACCAGCATGGCTTGAACGGTCCACCAATCCTCCATTATAGAGGATCCTTCTTCTGGTTTCTTTATGGTTCCATCAATGAAACCCCATTTCCTTCTTGCTCTCAAAGATATCTTGATGGCTCTAGCCCATTCGTCGTAGTTTTCACCCCGCAACAGCACCTGCGTAATGACACTTCTAGGATTGTCATTGGAATGGAGGTCATATGGTGATGTTTTTTTCTTTTGATCTTCTCCTGTTAGAGAAGATCGTGTTTCATTTTCTTTTCCAGCCATAGCACCTGCCAGTTTTATTTTTAGGATTGCCTGGCTCCGATACCATGTAAAGAATTGGTTATGTGTGTTTTATTTCTCAATATACCGCTCTTTATATACATGCATGACACTCACATTTTCTCCTATAATTATTTCTATGATATTATAACTAATTACTGTTATATGAATGAGCTTAATTACAATACAGCCGTAAATAATTAGAATATCAAAACAGAATCAGATTTGTCTAATTATAAGGATAAATGCTAGTTGTCAAATATAACTTAATACATAGTAAAAGTACCTTTGTCTGATTGCAAGAATCTATAAACCAATTCATAGGCAGGGAGTATTTTCTTTTCTAAGCTTGCAAAAGTACCATAGGGTTCTTAGTGACAATGTTAACAATGTGGGAGTTAGAAGCACCTTTGGAGAGAAAAAATTGAAACTATGGTAAGACCCTTTTGGAGGGGTTGCAGGAACGTAGCCATGGTGCTTTTTCAATTGTATGGCGTAATTGGGATTCGGAGAAATTTTGGTTTCTGAAGAATGTGAGAACGGAATCAGGTGTTAGGCACGATTTTATTAAAACAAAGTTTTTTTAAAGTTTACAATTGTTTTATCCAAAAAATTAGTTTTAAATATAATTAAAAATAAATAAATTATTTATTATTTTTAAAAAAACACATATTTTAAAAAAACAAAAAAATTTTATCAAAATTATTTTCTATTAATAATACATATTTTAAATTTTCGTAGATTATCTAAAAAATTTATTTAAATTAAAATAATTTCAAGATATAAATATTAGATACATAAATAATTTAAAAAAAATTGTGTTTAGATTAATAAATTACTTTTATTTTTTTTAATGGGGAAGGAGGTGAAGTAATTAGGTATTGCAAACAAGGTTATATATATATATATATATATATATATATATATATATATATATATATATATATATATATATATATATATATATATATATATATATATATATATATATATATATATATATATATATATATATATATATATATATATATATATATATATATATATATATATATATATATATATATAATGTAAGCGGACAACAAACCGTGTCGTTATTCTTTTTTGGATCGGAAAATCAATCTTCTTAAAAATTACATTCATAGATTTAAGAGATACAAAATTGATATTCATAAATTTTTGAACTCTCTACTGCTTCAGGTGCTAGGAAATAAAAGTGTCAAAGACAAATGGTATAATAACATGTTGATTTTCAAAATACGCTTTCTCATGTTTGATCACTTTTTAATTGTAAAAAAAATATAATAATTGTGTGTTCGCATTGATTTTAGAATAGTTACTCGTACGTTCACACGATACGGATGTGTTACTCGTGCATTCATACACTATTGATGTGTTACCCATACTTTCACACGAATACTAATTTGTTATGCACGCATATTTATTATCCGTGTGTTTACACAATATTAATGTTTTTTCGGTTCGCTCTGACAGGATACTAGTGTGTATAAACAACCAATTTATTAGATTTATTTTACTATAAAAACTTATAAATAAGTATACTTCCAATATATATAATTTTAAGACTTTATTTTTAAATTCTTAACTAAAAAAATATATTTGTCAAAAAAATAAACTAAAAAACTATATAATTGATTAATAACAATAAATTATCTCAAGAATAAATTGATAGGGGGAAACAAACATACATTATATCAAACCATATCATTAATAAACTACATGATTTTCGAACAATAGATATTTCATCAACAACTCTAGGTGATTTGTCACTTTAAATATCTTATTTTTTGGTGCAAGAGAAGAGGACTTGCAGGCTCTTTATATAAAGTTAAACAAAAATATTCATATCATATTTAAAAAGTTATAAATTTTAAATTCATTTTTAAAAAAATTAAAAAACAAAATCAATTATATTTAAAAGAAACTAAACCTATCAAAATCTATTTGACATTTCTAAACATAAAGAGACTTTATTTATGAACACACATAAAATGGAATGACAACATTAAATAAGGTGTATCTCTCATCATTGATCATATGATTGGATTGACTTTAATATAATCTAACAATTAATTTGTTAGTGACTATTGGATATCAATAATTTTATAATGCAGCACTTGAGGCTCAAAGCAATGCTCAATGTTCATTTAATATGATAATGAAGATACTTTGTGAAAAAGATGCACATCTCAGTTCAATTAAGCCAAACGGTAAGACATTGTAATGACTATTTTGACAGTTAGTGATATAATTCATAGACTAATTTGCTAATAAGTGGTATGATTCAAGAACTAATTTGAACAAAATTAGATTGAAGTTAGCAATATGACCAATGGACTAATTTTATGGGTGTAACTAAAAGTGCAGTTCATGACATTTAGTTATATTCTGCTAGCTAGCATTTTCGGTTAACTAAAAGAGTAATTCATGACATTTTACTATATTTAACTCCATTCATTGTATCAATAAGAATCAATGGATTGTATCAATAACCCTTTTGTTTTGTAACAACAGTGGCTCTTTTCAGCTATAGTGAATGCCTCAAAAATTTCGCATCATCAGCAATTGATTTATAGAAGACCAATGACTGAATAATCTCTCTGCAATTCTTTGACAGAATTCCAATTTTAAGAATGCAAAACTATATACAAATCCTAGGACTGCAGGAAATCAAATCCTGATAAGAAGTCATCACCGAAAATTGCAGCACCAGCTGCTAATGCATCGACACTTATTTCCATTGCAACACCTGGAGGCACCATTTGATCGGGTTCTTCCATGAATTGTGGTATGTTTGTGAAGCTTGGATGCAAGTCATCAATTCCAAACAGGAGTTGCATTTCCAAAATCAACAACTTTGGTGCAATATTTGTTGTTATGATCAATCCACCAAGCAGCATACCATTGACGCTTCCAAAGTGAAGTTGTAATGTCATATCCAGCCATGCCACATCAAATCTCAAATGTATCATTATGATGCAAAGCAGGCATTGACATAGCATCTCCAGGAGTATGAGTTAAGGGTGTTGAACTTGGTGAAGAACCTGTTGTATTTGTTGTTCCTGAACTATTTGTAGGACCTGAAGAAGATACAATCTGCTTTCTCTTTCTTCCAATCTGATTTTTGTAACCTTTAAAAAACTGTGAAGGAAAAAACATGGCCTTAATGAAATTTTCTGTGAAGGAAAAAACTGTGTTACACTTCTAAAGTTCTAGTAAACACACTGTATTGCAAGACCATGTATGATAGCAAATTATGAACTAAACCTACAACCTCCATTAGAGGAGGCAGCTGAGAAGGTGTCGACGTACTCCCGCATGGATTGAACTCCTCAGTGGTGGCTGCAGTAGACGCGTATTTCTTAGGTGACCTTTTCGCAAGATCTCCTGCGATTAGAGCTGAGCTTGAGCGAATTATGTTGACATCAAACCTACTTATGTCAAAGAATGAAATATCTGTACACATCTGTCCACAACCTGCCAAAAACATCTCAACCAAGGCCGTGAACCTGTCACCAAATCACCATCACTTCAGTTCCTAACAAAACCAAAAAAGATCCAATTCATCCTAAAAGCAATTTCAAATTTCAATCGACGAACTCATAATTACATGGGATTCCACACTTGCACAAACCGCATGTAATCTCCGGTTTGTGATGTAGTTAACGTACAAATGTACTTTTGCAAACCTAACACGAGAATGCTTCTGTCGAGTTCCGTTGAAAAAGCAGTGGTGTATGGTTAATAAACTGATGGTACATATAGTTTCATGATCTTGTATAACACAAGAATCACAACCTGCGGTTATCCCTGCACAAAAACAGACCTGCCACCAGCATGCTCAAAGGCAACATGCCAATTTGCCACCTTCTATAATTATCACAGTACAGTAATATCACTCTCTATGGAAAACCAGATTATAAAATATAAATGTACACATCAATACTAGATGGATCAATCGAAGTCATAAAGCCCTCATTTATTGGATCCATAGACACTTTTTTACTTAATCTAAAAAGTAGTATTTTATGCAAATTACTGAAGAAAAAATGAAGAGAAGTAGCGATTAACAATGAAATATAAAATTGCAAAAAAGAAACTCGTAAGAGTCTAAAAGTGATAAGCCATCACTCACCGGATATGCTCCTGTGATATCGCGCATCAATAAGCTTTTTCATCTCCAAATCTGCGGTAAATCAATGACTAAAAGTACTACATCAGTTCAAAAAGTGAAATATCTACAACATTCAAAATATACTTTTGTATCTAAATGACCTGAAGCAGGTTGTGCACGTGATATTATTCCTCTATGGCATCTCACTCAATCAGGGAGAGAATACAATACATATAAGCTGATGCAGAAGGGAATTGTTACACAGGACTGCACTGTACTGTTATTGTCCCAGTTATTGCTCCAGCAACTCAATTGCAATATAAAGTTTTAGAAGACTCTCCAAAACTACAGAAACTTTTTCTGTTAGAGTTGAGGCTCTGCCTAACAACTTTCCAAAACATCATTGGAAAATTCACAAAAATGAAGCATGTATGTGTAATGTAAGTAAAGTAAATATTTCATTACCCATTGTAAGAACTCTTTCCCAGCATTAATCACCTGATAATGAAAAGCAAAAAAAAGCAACACAATTAACAGAAAACACCATACAATTAATATTAATTGTGGCATTTTATCAAACATGTTAAGTTCATTGTTCACCATAGCCTCAAGAGATTTGTTATTGGTCTCTCTTAAATACACAAAACCAAAAAGTTATGTCAAACTTTTCCAACTTACATAAACCGTAACAATTGTGTGTGGCATGGATATCTACCTCTAAGACCCGGCAACCGGCGTTTTCCGGCGGCTGATGGAGGGATCGAAAATAGTAATAACAATAGATGAATACAAACAAAGACATGATAACCATATGAAATAGAACCATGAAACGTGAAATGACGTTAAATCAATAACACTTAAATAACGACATAGAAAAATGGAAAAAAAAATTACAAACAAAAACAAAATACAAAAAAACACATGATAAACACAAGAAACAGATTCATAAACCGACATAGAAAAGTCACATCTTTGTCAATAACTATTACATGAGATTCGAAAACTCACATATTTGTCTAAACCCCAGACAAGAAACGGCGACGGTGATATTCCTTAAATGAGATCCGAAAACAACTGAGAGAGAGAGAGAGAGAGAGAGAGAGAGAGAGAGAGAGAGAGAGAGAGAGATGGCTTTGGTTGTGTGAAACTGTGTAGTAGCAGGGGAACAGTTGGGCTGAGACTTGCAAAAGAAATTTAAATTATATTCAATCGATACATGTTTCAGTTAAAAAACTTAGTCAATTGTAAAAGGCATATTTTACGTAGCTTTATCCAACAATATAGTTTTAAGCAAAATAATGTAGTTGCGTAGTTACGATTTATAGGAAAATGACCCAATTTACCCAAAAAGTGATGATGTGGAGCAAAATTGCAAAGGGTAAGATGATAAATTTCATAGTTTATGATGTATGATGTTCTTATATGATAGATAATAGATGGATCCTAATGAAATATGATAGAATCAATTTCATCCAATCTTTTAATCTTTATTCTATCTAATTTAAGTTTCATCCAATCTTTTAATTTCTATTCCATTTAATTTGAGTTTCATTCAATCTTTTAATTTTTATTCTATCTAATTTGGGTTTGAATTAATTAATTTGTTTTGTTTTGTTCCATCAAATTTTAAAAATTACATAAACAATATAATGAAATTTGTCTCATTATGCTTTGTCCCACTTCATTCCATAATGTTTTATTCTGTTTCACTCTTTTCTATTCCATGAATTCAAACATGGTCTTAGGTTTATTGTTATTGTTGGAGATAAATGGAGGGAAGAGGAGAGAATAATAATATCATATATGTTTTGTTCAATTTATATGACGAGAATGAAAGATAGGTGGAAGAGAGCAAGATTCCTTCTAGACTATTTTTTATTTTTTAATTGGGGGAATTTAAAGGAGAAGAAAAATGTTTCATATTAGTTATAATTATATTTACATATTTATCATTTATATATTTATTTACATAAATATAAATTTAACTTATTAAAATATTGAAAATTATATTTTGGATATATTTTATCTGGCTCATACTTGGATAGCTAGTTATAATCGGAGTATACATACACGAATGATAAGATTTTGTAGTTGTTGACTCTTAAATTCGACACCCTTGTTTCATTAATATCAGCCATTAAAGCTGAAGGATGTTTTCGATCAGCTGGGTCCGTCGAAATGCCCATCGAAAGATGACACTGTACTTAGAAGATTTCTTCCAAGAGAGAAGTTGGTTGCCTTCGACGTCGAAGGTGTTTCTCGTCGAAGTGCTTCTCGACGAAGATGTTCGATGGTTCAGAGTGGAACGGTTTGAAATTCAAGCATTTGGAGGGAAAACGGTTTCCAGCGGTTACCAAGTGCAACGTGCAAAGATCTGGAGCGTCGAACGTTGAGAACGTGCCAAGTGGAATCATCTCGAAGCAGTGTAACTGCCCGACGGTTACTTGGGATGTTTTAGTATAAATAGTAGTAGTTCACGCAGTTTCTGGCGTGTTTTCACAATTATATACAAAGTCACTCATATAGATTCGAGTACCCAGCGTGTGAGAAAGAATTGTTGAGAATGTATGTGTGAAACACCACTTTTATTAATCAAAGTCATTTACTTTTCCAGAAACTTTACTTGCTTTCTTCTTTACTTTCCCTGTCGAAGTCCTTTACTTCAAGCCTTCATTTATTTTACCAAGCCTATTTCTTCATGCAATTTACTTAAAGCCTCTTTATTTTATTGTCATTTAACCATTATCCAATTTAATCAAAACCTCAAAATCAACCTATGTCTTAGGATCAATCTGATCGATCCTGCGAGTAACCAAATAAGTAACCATTTAGAGGATCAGCGGTTGTTTACCAATAACCACGGTAAACAAATTGGCACACCAGGTGGGACTGTGTGTTGATTTTTGAACATAATCTCATCTTTTTCGAGGAGTGTTGCATGTTATTGAGACGTGGTAGAATATACACTAACGATACCAATACTGCCAGAGGAAGAGAAGAGATGGCGAATCCGCCAAACAATAACGAAATCCCACAAACGAATGTGGGAGCAACGGTTATCCCGACCGTAAGTGAAGCGATAACCGCTGGTTCGACACCAGCAGTAACGGTCACAGCAACGAGGCCATTACCTCCGTTCACAGGCCCCAGAGTGCCTTTGGGAACTCCCCCACCAAGGGGAAATTTAGGCACAAGGCCTTTCGTTCCCCCAGGATTTATGACAGGCGGTCATAATCGAGAACCGCTATATGGCATGCCAACTTCTGACTTGGCTAGCCTGACGAATGCTGCGTCCACTTTTTCAGACCCTTTAGTGAGTGCCTCTTCGCCACTCCAAGGTTCTGGAATAGGTATGGCGAATAGAAATAGGACCCAACTCTTAGGAGGAACGTCTCAAGTAGCACATGGCCTTACAAATGCCTCGACAACAGTCTTGAGGCAACAAATGGACGAAAGCAACCATGATATGGTTCAAATGTTGGCACAAACTTTAAGTACAGTGTTGAACCCTCTAATACAAAACACTACTCAATCGAATCAGCAGATGACAACGCAAATGACGCGTTTGGCTGATTTCTTTGGAGTACCCCAACCTATTCGACAGCCCCAAAGGGCGCAAATAAGGGGAAACCGGGGTGTATTCTTAGAGGAAGAAACCACTATCAACCAGGTCCAACAGCCTGTCGAAGAAAACCTTAGGGCACGATTGGAGCAACCTGTCGAGGAACCTAGGGTAATAACCCCAGAGGTAAGGTTAGTTAACAGAAACCAAAATGCTGACGAAGTAGTTCAGCATATCCAATACCAAAACATGGGTTTGGAAAATAATCGGGCAACCATGATCGAAAGGATCATGACTCAAAATGGGATGAACATGGGCTTTCGAAGGCCCAACTTCACATCCCCGTTGTCAGAATACGTGTTACAAATAGACTTACATCCTAGATGTAAAGTCCCCAAATTCACTAAGTTCTCTAGGGACACGACAGAATCTACTGTCGAACATGTGGCGAGATACTTGATCGAAGCAGGAGATATTTCGAATAACGAAAACCTGAGGATTAAGTACTTCCAAAGTTCTTTAACAAAGAACGCTTTTACTTGGTTTACAACTCCCCCCCCCCCCCAATTCGATCCATCATTGGACCCAGTTGGAAAGATTGTTCCACGAGCAATTCTACATGGGGCAAACCAAGATAAGCCTGAAAGAATTGGCCAGTGTAAAGAGACGTTTCACTGAACCTATAGACGAATATCTAAATAGGTTTAGGTTGCTCAAAGCGAGATGTTTTACACAAGTGCCGGAACATGAGTTAGTCGAAATAGCCGCAGGCGGTTTAGATTATTCCATTAGGAAGAAGTTAGACACTCAATACCTGAGAGACATGGCCCAACTGGCCGATAGAGTTTGACAGGTAGAACGCCTCAAAGCTGAAAAAGCAAAGGCAACGAAAACTCATAAGAGAGAGAGGATAGCGTATGTTGAGATGGATGACGAAGATCCAGAATCCTTCGACGATACTATAACTGTCGAAGAAGGAGAAGTCGATTTAGCGGAACTAAAACAAGGGCCACCATACTCTTGCAAACTGTTAGTCCCCTCAAGTGGGAAAAATCCCATTGGTCCAGAAAGGACCAACGATAGGTTCCCCAAAAAGACTTATAGTTTTGACATTACAAAATGTGATGAGATCTTTGACTTGCTTGTAAAAGATGGTCAAATGATAGTACCCCCAGGGGTAAAAGTGCCTCCTCTTGATCAAAGAAAGAAGAGAGGCTTTTGCAAATATCATAATTTTTTGGGCCATAAAACTTCCCAATGTTTTCTTTTCAGGAATCTTGTGCAAGACGCTATCGAAGAAGGGAGGTTGAAGTTTGCTGACAAAACCCCCATGGCTGTCGACTCAAATCCGTTGCAGGCTGAAGCCCACTATGCTGAGCCTTCAGAGGTGAACGTGATCGAGGCATCCAGGAGCCAGTCGAAGAGGCCAGGAATCACAATGGTCGAAGTCTCAAAGGACCATATCAACATGCCAATCTTTGGTAGTTTTTCTGGGAATTTATCCAGAAAAACAATTGAAGCGGTTCAGAAAGCGGTCGAAAGCCCAAAGCTGGAGACCGTTGAAGCACAAAAAACTAGACCAAAACCCAGTTCTCACTTGGCCACAGTTCAAGGCCAGACGGAGAATTTGGAGATTCAAATGAAGCAGTTGACTCTTGCCAACAAAGATGCAATGAATGTCAACATGGTCGAACTCTCTGACCCAAAAGCATCAGAGGAGGCCATGAGGCAAGAACAAGCTAACAAGACTGCTTTCCCTCGGGAAAATGAAAATCTGGCAGATTTCCTGCAAAGATGCCAGAAAAAGAAGTCAGAGGTGATGCTGTGTCCAAGATGCAGTTCGATCTTTGACAAAAAAGCTGCTGAGCATATTCAAGGCGTAAGAGCAGCAAATAAGAGAAGGGAAA